CAAGTTGAGGAATGCCTCAGGAAATTTAAACACTTTTTTCCCCAAATAAGTGTTTTAGTATTTTTAGAGTGCCTTAAAAATCTGGAGGTGGCTTGTCTTCGTGAAGAACATCGTCTTTGAAAGCAGACTTTACTCACCTGTTTTCTTTTCCCCCGTGCAGCTGCAGACCTTTGCAAACAAAACAACGGTGGGTGCCACAAGGCAGCCGAATGCACACAACTCGGGGTGAAAGTCTTCTGTAGCTGCCAGAAAGGATACAAGGGAGATGGCTTTACATGCCTTCCAATAAATCCTTGCGCCGATGGGTTCAACGGAGGCTGCCATGAGCACGCCATTTGCACTGTCATAGGCCCTGTAAGTTGAATGATTTCAGTCACCAGCAGGGAAGCCCAAGGCATTTCTTCCTGGTGCCAGCAGAAATCTTTTCTGTGGCTGGATCACACTCCACCCCTCTCAAAGTTTCCAAAACAACCTTTACAGAGCTCCAGACTACTTTCTACATTAGTTTGGTATCCTTTCAGCTGAGGGATGAGTTTGACATCTTTGCTCTAGGGAAAGGGGTACTACAGCAAAAGGGATATTTTTCATGTGTAATTTTTTTGTCCCCTTCTTAGCTCTCCCCAGCAGGATATCCTTATTTGCAGTAGGAGTTTGTTGGATTGAAACTGAATTTATTTTGGTAGCTAAACCTAGGCACAGCTGGGAGAAAAGTGTCACTTGTTGGTCGACCAGACTCAGCTTAAAAAGCTTTGCAGCTACAACATAAAAGATCCTTGGCCCTCACGGTCAATATTGAACAAAACTTGTGCCAGTGACTTGATCCAGAATTTGTCCTGATACTTTTGGGATCATTTGTCCATTCCATTTTGGTGGCTTGCCTGATGTGTCTTCCAGGAGCTATCTAGAAAAGCCTTGCCGCTAATCCGTTCCAGCTGCCAACCGTCACAATCCCTGGATGTCACCATCTCCTCCTTGGTTTATAGTTCTCAATTTATTGCTATCAGTGGGCTGCTAAATTCCTTTCATGCTCCCATGCCCTGCCATCTAAATATCATTTTAATAGGTTTGCCATCCATTTTTATTAATTACGTGTCATATAATTCTCCAATGCATGTCATTAGCTTTGTGGATGGAATTATGCTGTGATATTAATTCAGCAAAGCACCCAAGTGGATGTGTAAATGTTTTGCTTAGAAGAATAAATGTCAGTGTCAGAGTTTGTGGTTTGTTGAATCGCAGTTGTTAGTAGCAACTTTTCTGTTTGTCCATTCCTGGCTATATCAAGTGAAATTTTTCCAGCAGTTCAGGATGTTGCTTGAAATACCACTTTTATGTCAGCTAAGTACTTGGCTTAGCCTTTTTTATTCTCTCTCTGACCAGGACAAACGCAAGTGTGAATGTAAAAATAACTACATTGGTGATGGGCTGAACTGCTCGGTGATGCAGCTTCCTCTCGACCGCTGCTTGCAAGACAACGGGCAGTGCCATGCCGACGCTGACTGTGCCGATCTCCACTTCCAAGGTGAGGATGGCACACCATACACGCCACGGGACAGGGACATCATCGTCCCTGTGCCAGTGCTCTGAAGTCAGTGGCCAGGATCCTTGTGTCTGTAAGCTCACTCAGTCAGTTATCTATGTCCCCCTGAAACAATGAGAAGACGAAAGTTAGAAAGTGTGCTTACGTACTTTGTGATTTATGAAGCAAGGGATAAGAGCATTCCAGGTAGGAATGCCACCCCTAAGGGATCAATCTGTCCTAACTACATTTCACAAAATTCACAGGTATTTTTATGGCATGGTTGACTCTGCACCCAGATGTGGAAACACCTTCAGGAAGAGCTGGTTCTTCTCTCTCTTTGCAGATACCACGGTTGGGGTTTTCCACTTACGGTCCCCACAAGGACAGTACAAAATGACTTATGAGAAGGCAAAGGAGGCCTGTGCCAACGAGTCAGCCACCGTCGCCACGTATAACCAGCTGCTGTATGCACAGAAGGTGAGGTAGCCTCACTGCAGGAGGAGATCCCTGGAGTGGACCTAGCCACAGCGTAAATGGGGATGGAGGAGCAAGGGAGCTGCTCTGTACTAATAAGCTTCATTTTCCCTCCTTTCCTTACCCCGTGCCCCAAGATATGTTTGGCTGGGAGCAGTTTTCAGACTGTTTGTTGGTTTCATGCCTGCTTATATAGCACTGAAATCGGTTGCCAAGTTCTTTTTTCCAGTGATGCTGGGGTGAGATGGTACAGTCAGACTTACAGAGTGTTTTCATGGGGCTTTTAATTATTATCACTTCTTAAAGAAATGTACACTTCAGAATTATGCTTAAAATAATTTTATTTTTAATGTACGGCTCCAGGAACCTTTTCCCCAAATGCTGTTAAGTGAGCAGACCCATTTCCATATTCTTTTCCTGGAGTGTGTAATAGTCAATGTATGGCTGACATCAATGGGATGAGCATCACACCTTGGGTTTGTAAAACTTGTTTTAGAAGAGTGGGTGAGACTGACTGTGCCTTTCTGGCTCCCTCCCATCTGCGGAAGGAAGAAAGACTCTCACCATTTAGAGACACCTTTAGCAAAATGTGAGTCTGAACCACAGCCAGCACATAAACCTCCCTCCGCTGCCCAAGGAGATCCAGATTGCAGCCGGAGCTGCATGTCTCCTGTGCCTAGTATGAATATTTCCCTTGAAGCAGCAAAGTCAGCAGCGGGGCTGGCTCCAGCACTCCTGGAGACTTACCTTCTGTATTGAGCTGGTTTGTCAGCCCCTCCCATGCTGACAAAAGGTGGGCTAGCACACGATGGGATTGCACATCCCCTTTGGCCTCCACACCCCACTCTGATCCTGCCCAGCTTTGGGCTCGGAGAAGCTTTTCCCAGGAAAGGCTCCTTTGGTCCATACGGGGAGCCGCTGACTTTCAGAGGGACCCCTGTCTCCACAGCCCCTTGGCACAGAGCTCAGCACAGGGCAGGCTGCAGGATGGACGGATGGACAGAGCCCCCTCAGAAAGAGTGCTGGCAGGTTGGGTGCTGCCTGAGTGCTCTCGGGGCAGGGGGTGTTCATTTCATCCGCAGCGCCCCAGCTCCACCACCCAGCTCTTCCCCCTGTGTTCTTTCCCTTATGGCTGTGCTGGCTGCAGGCAAGGTACCACCTGTGTGCTGCCGGCTGGCTAGATGGCGAAAGAGTGGGCTACCCAACCGCATTCTCCTCCCCAAACTGCGGCTCTGGGTATGTCGGCATTGTGGACTATGGGAGAAGAGTCAACCTGAGTGAAACCTGGGATGTCTTCTGCTACAGAGAGAAAGGTAAGAGGGTCCTTTACTGCTTGCCTCTAAGCAAAGGGGAGCAGCAGCCCAGATTTTGGTTCCTTTAATCAGCCACAGGGTGCTAAATAACACTGCCTCTTTTTAACATTTTAAAAAAATCTGTTGCCTGCAAGTTGTTTTTCAGGCACAGGACAACCTAAAGCCTTCTAGCAAAGGGTGTTTGCCCACGGAGCTATCTGTGTTTGTACCTTCCAGAGGTGAACTGCACCTGCAAGCCAGGCTACGTGGGGGACGGCTTCTCCTGCAGCGGGAACTTGCTGCAAGTGCTGATGTCCTTCCCAACGCTGACAAACTTCTTGTCGGTATGGCCCACAGCTGGCGCGCTGCTCGGTCGGGTGAGCAGAGCAAAGCAGGCTCTGGCACCAGGTTGTATCTCAGTGTTTGCTTTACTAGCACAGCAAATACAGGTAACAACAACACACCAGCGAAGTAAGGTGGAGCAGTCTAAGTCTGCACCGTCAAAATCAGAACTTACTGGGTTTTTTCATTATTTGCTCCAAAGAGGTTTCAGGTTTCTAAAACTTCGGAAATAAAATGCTGCTGCAGCTTTAGCTTAAAGGAAATTCTGTGCACAACTGCTCCTGGCTTTTTAAGCATCACAAGCAGTGTGGTGCTTTGTAACTTTATTGAATTGCTGTTGGGGAAAGGCAAAACATTAAAAGGGTCCTTTTCTTGCTGCTGCTCAGAAAGGCATTCTATGTGTAAGCAGCCTCACAGACAGCAAGGGCCCAACTCCTGCAAATCAGTTTAAGATGTGTTCATCAAATCGGCAGCTAAAACTGGGTTCTGAACACAAGCTTCTTTTATAAAGTCACTCCATAATGCTTCATGGCTAATAACAGAAAGCTTCTTTGTCATTATTTATACAGTCTCATCTCTTCAGCTCCCCACACAGGAGCATACACCTGCTCTTTAGTAAAGCTGGATTTTGTTTCTGCCTAGGACATCATGGCTTACTCCAACAGCTCTAGGAAGGGGAGGCAGTTCCTGCGGTACCTCACGGATCTGTCAGTGCACGCCACTCTCTTTGCTCCAAATGATAGCGGGTTAAGGGAAAACGAGGTCAGGGTTTTTTTCCTTTTTTCTTTCCTTGTTTTAATAACACTTTTTAAACAGCCATTGTGGGTTTCTGTATTCCAGTGAAATTTAAGTTTAAAAAAAATAATAATCTTAGTATGACATGACTTCTGTGTAAGCCCACATAGTTTAAACCGTGCTGCTGAAAGAGGTGAGTTCATTGTTTCCATTTCTTTTCTGTAGTTAGGAGTATAAGGTTATCGAGTGTTTGAGTCACTACAGAGCCTTTTCCATCAGGGATTTTAGTTACGCAGTTATAAAGGAGTCTGCTTGAGATGAATCCTCTGGCTTATTAACGTCAAGCACAGTTATTTGAAGAAGGCAGTCAACAGCTTTGGCATCCCCCACAAACACATTAAAAGCATCTACTCTTAGCTTCATTTCTGTGCTTATCCCTCCCCTCCTTCTTTCCATTCATCTGCCAAACATTGTCTCAAATAATTCACATGGGTTTATGCCCTGGTTTGCATCTTCAAGATGTTTGGAACATCTCTGAGGCTCATCACTTCAGGTCATCACACAAAAGAGTAAAATCATTTGTCCCACGAGGATCAATGTCCTGCCTGCGGCAGGCAGCCATCAGAGGCCAGCAGGGACGGAAGGTCCCACTGTTCACATCCAGATTTCCCAATAGCCTCTACCAGATACTGCACTTGCTGCAGCATCAATGGCAAAGAGGGACAAAGTTCACAGGCACTTAACCTACTGGTGAAGCCAGAGGATTAATGAGATCAGTTAATGTTCCTTCTATTTTGCTCTCATTTGCAGACGCTTTCTGGGCGGGACATCGAGTACCATTTATCTAACACCAGCATAATGTTTTATGAGGACTTGACCAACGGAACCACTCTTCTAACTCATCTAGGGGAAAAACTCCTCATTACAAACACCAGGAGCCAGGAACATCAAGCCCCCACTGCTGAACAGGTACCTTTTCAATAAATCTCCCATCTTTGTACTTTTTCACCCCTTATGCTATGCCTATGTAATCAGGTGACACACTGATCCAGAGAGCAATTCGGTAAGGTTAGAGTGGGCAGCAATCAGAGGCTGACTTCAGAAAGCTCTTTCCTTCTGAAAGAAGGCTCAGCCCAGAGACTGCAGGATAGCAGCTGGCAAACTGCAAATTTACAAGTTCGTGAATGACCAAGCTCTGACCTGCAGTACTTGAAGGGAACTGTCCAGGTGGCCTGCAGGAACAGCAGGATGCGGACACAGGCTAAACTCAACCCTTCTCTCAGGCTGGCAGGATCATGGGAGATGGCGTTGTGATAGAGGCAGAGATGAGAGCAGCAGCTTATCATTAAAGAAAGGTGTCGGCATTTGTAAAGTCTCTTGGTAACTTTCTGGGAGAGGCACGAGACGCCAGCACAGCCTTGCTCAGAGCGAACGCAGACAAAACAGTGGTTTGCATTTTTTATTACTATGTCAGTGTTTTTTAAATGCAAAAAATTTATATCCTTTTTGAAAATGGAAAGTATCCTTTGATGTTTTAAGGGAACACATCCTTTGAAAACACACCCAACTTCTCATTTTTTATGAAGAAAATACTTGCTGCCCAAGCATTTAAAATGACATCTGTGACAGCAACCCCTTGAGATCAAGGTTGGGACTCTGCTGTGGGTGATGCTGTACAGCTGAATATGAAAATAAGGAACGTTGCGCCTGTGGGCTTGCAGTTAAAATGTGCTTTAGAGAACGGCACTGGACCCAAGGGAAGTGCCCAACCTGCCACCCAGGGGGGATTTTCACAGCACCAACAAGTGAATGGGTGCTGCAGGAAAAGGCACACAAAAGACATACGTTGCTTTTGCTCCCTTCCTCCTTTGCCTTTTAGGAGAAACTTCTTTGGAACGAAAATTACCATTTTTATTTTTAAAACCACCCTATACTGCAAACCCATCACATTAATAAAGTCTACCCTCATGAGATATCGGGTGTCCCAGCCCAGGGCTTACCTGTATCACTTACTAGCATGCCAGGAGCTCTTTTGGATCACCTTGATCTGATATTTGAGCTAGGAAGCATTCTCCTTAAAAAAAATCCTCCTTTCTTCCAAAGCTGCCAAGGGGATGCGCTGAGCCCATTAACACAGATCTTGCTCCTGCTCTTCAAAGCAGTTGGAAATTTGTAGCTTTTCGTTCTCCCTGGAGGACCTGAGCAAGCCCTCAGTTCCCTCTGCTGCAGTAAAGCCCAGCAGGGTGCAGGGTGGGAAGAAGAGGTGGCAGCCGCTTTCCACACATGCTCCTGGCAGCCAAGCACCCACCTGACCCAGCACACCAGGTCAGAACCCACGAGCTTTCCCCAGGCAGGGCAGCGCAAGGATGAGGGAGGAAGACACAGGGTGTCCGTCACTCTGTAGTGCCACCATGGCTAAGCCCCTTCCTCCCTGGGCACAGAAAGTCACCATGTGCTTCAGCAGCAAAGTACCACCTCATGCCAGGGGCAAGAGCAGGCAGCAGCTCCTGGTTCTGCTCACTGAGGAGAAACCATTTTGCTTGGATGCAATTTAAAGCAGAGCTCGCAACAGCGTAGATGACTGTGAACCCACCCTCCCAAAACACAGACACAGGCTGGAGAACCCAGGAGTAGCTCAAAGCAGTCAAGGCCTCCCATTACCAACAGAGTTTGGAGACATGTCAGGGTGGCAGTGTCTGATCCTGTCCTTCTCCCTTCTTGATAAGCTGCCAAACGGAACGACCGCCCAGCTCGCAGGCGCTAGGCCACCAGATAAACTGCAGGCAGCAGCTCCCCATCGGTGCTGAGCCAGCTCTCTCATGCCAGCAAACAGCACGAGTGGCTTCCTCAGCACCAAAAGCAGCTTAACGGAGGCAGGCTGCAGGCTGCCTGGCACTCGGGTGTGACAGCACTCCCAGGCAGAGCTTGGTAATTGCACAGATAGCACAAAAACCTTTATTTAAAAAAAAAAAAAAAAAAAAACAAAGAAATGGCTGAAGGCAATATGCAGGTAATGATGATGGCTACTTCATGCCCAGGAGAGCCATGACCAGCCTGGGGCCACCCCAGGCTGATGTCCAAGAAGGCAGCCATGTAAGCCTCCAAGTGATTTTTCTCTGTGTGTCAGTAACCGAGGTGGGGAAATAGTCTCAAGGTTTATTTCAGTCCCAAAGGAAGGAGGGTCAAAGCTCAGCTCTCATGTCTCCTGGCAGAGCAAGATCAGATACGTGGATGGAAGTGCTATTGTTGAGTGGGATATAATCGCTTCCAATGGGATAATCCACGTTATTTCAGAGCCTTTAAGGGCTCCACCAGTACCTGTAAGTACACAGTGATTTCTTTTTTTTTGGGGTGGTGGGAGGTGGCTGTCACTTATATCGTCCCAAACTCATTGCTGACATTCATATATTCCCAATATGCCGTTTCAGTTTAAAAGGTTACTTCAAAAGAAAATTAGAAGTTGAGAACAAGGTGCCAGTGAAGCTTGTTCAAAATGTTTCTGTCTGAACAAGTTCTTCCCACATTTATTTTATATAAATAAAATAAAAGCTCCATTTTGTAACGGAGGTCATCTTTGTAATGGGGGGTTTATAAAGCTCTGTTTCAGTTCTTCCAAAAAGATCTTTCAAGATCCTAAGGAAAATTTTTTACTCTTGGCTTTGCGTTCATTCCTATCCAAAACAACAAGGTGTTTTGAAAATAGATATTTTTTGCCTGCATGAATCCTTGCAATGGTCCCAGTTACCCAAACGTCTCTTCCATTAGAGAGACCAAACCAGACTGTACATGGTAAAAAGCACAGTTCAGAAAACAGGGTGCTGACCTTTCCATGGAGGGAAGTCGAGTTAGCAGCTGCACTGCTTCAACCTGGAATCAAAATGGTACAGGCCCAGCAGCAGGGAGGCAGGAACGTCATTCTGCTTATTTCCCACCAGCAAAGTTTACTGCTTTGTATGAGAGGGAGGAAAAATGTTTTGTCCACCTGCAGGGCAACTGAGATGTTTCACAAAAGTGATCCCTGCTGCCCCTGGGAGATGTGCACAGAAAGCACCTTTTTTCCTAGTACAAAACGTTTTTCTTGGCAAAGTAAGAGTTCAGACATGCAGCGTTAGCACTCCCCAGCTCTGTTCCATGCAGGGTACTCTGTGACAGGCTCAAGCTGACCTTGCAAGAAAGCCCACCATTCATTTAATCTGAAGAACTTCCCTTCCATTGGGGTAACTCATTCTGACCCTTCTCACGGTGCGCTGGCGGGGCCTCACATTTACAGCCCATCCATCCCAGCTCTGATTTCAGAAGTGGCTAACCAGCTGCCTCCTTGGTCCATGAGATTAATCCTATTGATACCCTGTTTCTCACCTGCATTTTGTTCTGAGCAACCCTTTCTCCTTTACAAACCAACCTTCTTGTTCCTAGGCGCTCAGTAATATGCCTGCACAATCTCAGTTCACAAAAATCCTTTGCAGCCTACAATCCTCAGAAGTAGGAAATTACACACTTCGGTAAAAACAAACTACTGCCTGCAAATGATCCAAAATAATGGGCAATTTCTGTCAGTCTACAGCAGCATGATATTACAATCTTTATCATACCTTTCACATGCTAGAGGGCAACCAAATATTTTCTATTTAGCTGTCCAGCTGCACCATGTAAATTACTTTGTTTTCTAAAAAATGAATGAAGAGAACATATCTATTAAGACAACAAAGTGATTATATTTGCCAGGGTAAGTTTAATAATTAGTTTTCTAGGCAGGAGGCCACAGAGTTAAGGCGTCCCATGGAAAAGCAAGAGCAACAGCATATGAACCTTCTGCCTATTTCCAGACCTCTCTTCACCTCCCAGGTTGCCAGCAAAGGGCACAGTGCTTTGGGCAGACTGCAGCTTGAATGGCTGCATGCCCTGGGGTCCCTCAAACTTATAGTTACCCCAAAAACTGCCAGTCACCTTCATGATATCCATCTATCAGGTCACAGAGCTGCAGAAGGCAAGCCAAAGCCAGAGTCTAGAGGATTTTCTTCCCTTTAGATTAAATCCAGATCATGTGAGAGTTTCTTTCAGTCCTTCACCAACATATTTATTAAAATATTTATAAAACATTATATGTAGTTACTTGGATTGGTACTTTACCTGCTCAAGCGAAGAACAATTTCAGGTTAAAGGCATGGCACATGTTGGGGCAAAATGACCTACAGAAGGCAGGTGTTGGGCCACTGGCGGAGCCCAGCCCCGCGCACCCTCTGCACAGGCTGACAGTCCCTCTGACTGGCGATGAGATGGGCCTCATCTCAGAGGTGGTTTGGTTTGAGCCCTCGTAAGCAAGGCTCAGAGGATGGTGTGGCTGCCGACAGCTGGCAATAACCAACACCTCACCAGGGCGCAAAGCAGCGGGGAAAAAGCTTGAACTCACGCAGAGCCCTCTGGGGTTTGTAGCACAGGTTTCCACAGCTGCTTACGGTAATTTTGTACCCATTTCTGCTTCTCGGGCCAGTGAGGTTTCAGCCTCATTGTAGCCTCCATTGCCATTTTGATAAGCCTGACCAGAAAAGATTGCATGCTCTGTGACATCAAAAACACAAACAAGATGAAGCTGTACTAGAGGCAATGTCCAGTACCCCGCAAAAATCTACCTTGTAATCACTATCAGAAGGCCATATTTAACTGTCTCTAGGGAACACACGTACCAGGAAACTCGAGCACAAAAGCAGTACCGGACTAGGGCATACCTCAGAGGGACACTGCGTGTGCTCAGATGGTGGAAGGTGACAGCGGCCTCCCCCCCAGCCCACTCACTCTCTCTCTTGCTTCCAGGCTCCTCTCCACACTGGTACTGGGACCGGAATATTCTTTGGCATCTGCCTGGTTACTGGAATTGTGGCTTTCATAGGATATTCTTACCTCAGGTTCAGGAAGAGAAACACAGGCTTCCAGCACTTCAAGGTAGGCATCAGATAGGAACACGAACCAGGCGGGCAGCACTTCCCCAGACCCACTGCACCTCCCAAACTCACAGCCTCCAGTTTCTCCTTGCATTTTATTAAGCTAGAAACATTCCTGATTGCTTCCCACTTGAACTGTTCAGACTAAGACACAGAGAAAGTGGGGAAAGCTCACACAGTTGTCTTGGGCATGAGGTTACATTTGCCTACTGCTCCCCTAGAGCTCTCCCTCCGGAGTGCCCGACGGGCTCCTGCTCTCACAGACACATCCAACACCAAGGACTGGCCAAAAGCTTATTTAACTACAACAGCACCTGTGCAGAAGCCTTTGCCTCACCGGAAAGCTCACCTTTAGGGAAGCAGGTGATTACAACCACTGAAAGGGCACCTGTTCCCCCCTCCTCCCTGGCATTGCTAATAATTTTGCTGCTTTGGAGGTTGAAACGTTTGATAGGAAAAAAGGCCAGATTCAAAAGACAGGCAAATTGAAATGATTGCAGGACTGAAAAGTGCAAACTTTTATACTGATGCACTCTCGTGCTTGCTTTAACTGCCTTTGCTAGCTTCACCTAGTATCATGATGATGTGAAATCAGCCAGCAACAGCCAAGCTGCTCAGAGACAACGGATGACAAAAAAAAATCCAAGTTGCAAAACACAGAATCTATCCAAGAGAAAGTCTGCCTAGGAGTAATCAGAAATCCTTTCCTATTCTAGCCCCTGCATGTAATGTGCATTGTCTTCCAGAAACAAAAAACAAGAGCCATGAGCCAGGGGAAACACTCATATTTTCATACAGTTGCAATGAGAGCGCTCAGGACAAACCAGGTACCTTTTACCCCAGGCATAACATCAAGGCAATGCTTCCTCTCCCAATCTTTGCTGAGGCTTAAAAATAATAAGGGAGAGAAAAAAAGATACTAGTGTTAAGCGACCTGAGATAACACAACAACCCAGAAGACAGTTCATGCCCAGAGACACTGATTTAGATGACAAGGCCAGTTCAGTCACAACACTGCACCAGTTGGTAGTGAAGCTTAAGTGCCCCACTTAATGCACTGCAGGAGGAGGATGGATTTTAAGCTGGTTTGTGTGATTTTGTGTAGTCAAAAGACGACACTGACGTAACATCACTGGACAAGTCACAGCCTTCAAATATCACCAACCCCTCATACGAAAGTTCTTCTGCACCGACTCCACCAGAACCTACTTACGATCTTTTCTCAGTAAGTGTTCATTTTTATTTGAGACACAACTAAGATAACCGTAAGAGGGAATGACTTGATGAAAGGAAAGTGTCTAGTTGGAAAAAAAAAAAAATATATATATATATATATAAATATATATATATATAAAAATTAATTCAGGAAAACACCATTCAAGTTCCTGTCTCACCACTGCTAGAAACTGGGTAGCCTCACTTGTAGCAGAATTGAGGCTGTGGTCTACAGCTGTATCTCAAGTCAGCCTTCACAGACAGCTGAATTAAACTGGACTTCAAATACTACTGGATGCCAGTGATGTGTCTATATAAACTTAAAAAGCTTTCCGATTTTGTCTTCCCTTCTCCTTGCTGCAAACGCAGCTAAGTGCCATGCCAGCACTCCAAAGAATCTGAAACACAACAGGGAGGGGGCTGGGAATCAAGGGAAGGAAAGATTGAGTAAAGCCAACAGCTTCAATCATCTAGTTTAGCAAGACCCGCATGTACATGCAGAGTCTAAAATCAAAATCAGCCTTTTTGCATCCAGTAAAGAGATGTGTTTGGTGCAAAAATGTCAGGTGCAAACTCTGCCACCTGTATGGACAAATTTGCCAAAAAGCAACTTTCATTTCTTAATGCAATGTTCACGTCTGATTTTCTTTCTCTTCTATTTTATAGGATTCAGATGACCAGCAGCTTGTGATGAGTGGTCCTCATGATCAGAATTAAAGACTAAATTTGGCATTAGTCAATTATAAAACACATTACTATTTACACTCACTGTGAAAAAGCAGCACCTACATGTTTCAGGGAACAAAATCTCAATACAAATTGAAAAGAGCACAGCTTTGTTTAAGATGCAGCCTATAGAGTTCACAGAGCTACTGACCTCCAAAGTGTTGGCTGCATCTGAGCAATACCAACTATAAGTGCCAAACGCAAAACTGAGTCTCAACTAACCTACCCAGAAGCACGCTGACACTGCTCTGTGAAAAGCAGTCTTTCACCACCCTGCTGTTTAACTGCTCTTATTCTTCACAGACTTTTAAATGGCCCACACACACAGGGCTGCTAACTTGACAAATATCCTAAACTTGCCAGTACTCCAGCTCTGTGCTTCCATTTTGGCTCAGTCACAACTACAACTGGCGAGTGTGAAACAGAACACGTGTTAAATCCGTATTTTTAAACTGAGGGGAATTTTGCTAGTGTATTTTTTTGGTAAGAATTTCAGCAGCAAGAAACACAACCATCCTCTCTGCCCCGCTTGCCTCCTCACTTCTCTGTCCTTCCTCGAACTTGACTGTGTTTTGTTTACACCTCACCTCACTGTACAGAGGGACATAGTAATTGTCGCAGCTTTAGCAAGAAATACAGGTGACAGGAGAGCATTCAAATAGTAATTAATTTTGACTTGAGCCATTTTTGTGAAAGGTGGACAATGAAGACGGACATACCCCTGCCATGTCATGTCCACATTCATTTTAGGTCTGAGAGGAGCAGAAGCTACCTGCTTGTTCCCATACCATAGTTTTACCAGGCACATTAACATTGCCTTTCAGACGATGCACTTGAGTTTGATTTGCTGTCGTTTCCTTCCCTCAAAACATTAATACCATAGCAAATTGTGAGAACACAATAGAAACCACAAAACAGCAAGAAAAGGAAGATTTTTCTTGCCGGCAGCAGTAACGTTCCCCTCTGATATGCTTCCTGGTGCCTGCCACGTGTGGGGGGCAGAAGGGAAGGTGTCACTCGGGGAAAGCATGAGTTACCTTTGGAAGCCACCCCAGGGCGCTTCCCATCAGAACAAGGTATGCTGGCAAATCCGGGGTTGTTGACACAGCTATCAAGCACAACCAAGGGAATCTGATGTCTAAATATGCCTGGATGAGAGAGACGGACTGAAGTAACTTCCATAACTCCTTCCCCTACCTCCCTACACACGCCTGCTTGTTTTTACTTATAAGATATTAAAAAAATTGTAGAACACAAACACACTTAAACACACACACATATTTAGAGGAGTTTTCCCCACAGAGTTTTGTAATTAATACAACTCATGTTCTTTCCTTCTCCCCAGTCACACAAAATATTAAGGCTCATCGGGACCAGAAGATAAAGTCCAAGCATTTATTTTTGTAATAATCATTAAATATTTTTATCACAAAAAAGTTCCACAGTTCATTAAACTCTTCTTTTACTGACAGACTATCCTCCTCCGTGTTTTTGATAGAACAGAATGAAAATGTCTTCTTGCTTTGGTGTTCAAGCGAACTATACTCCCAAAATTAATATAAAGAGACACTGCCCTTTAAACATGCTCAAAAATCTCTTTGAAGTCAGTAACATAACAAGGTTAAAACAAGTAATGCAGAGAGCGCCAAGTTGAAATCATTACAAAAATGCAAGACATTTTTAAAAGTTAAAGAGCAGCATTTTAGCACTGAAAAATAAATAATACACTTTAAAATTCTCACTTAAATTCATATGATATGTAGTCGGGTTGTTTTAAAGGAACATAACCCTCCCAGAATTATTTTTTTTCATGCAGTGTTGTTTATTTCAAGAAGTCATGCAATATAAACAAGATTTTACTTCAGCTGGCTGTTGTAACATAGCTTCATACCGCAGCTTGATTTGTAAGTTAAGAGAAAGGAAGAGGGAGAGGAGAAAATCATCTTGAAACAAAATGTGTACCATGCTGACAACATCATCCAACCCAATTAAACTGTTCCTGCTTAACACAGGAAAAACAAGCAAACTGACTTCTAGCCAGCATTAAAAGAATAAACATCACAGAGCTATAACCAACAAAACTTTATCAAATTCAGTAATGCAGAACTGAATAACACAGTATTATTATTTGCTGGTAGTAAGATGGAGAATGTATAGTGGGTTTTGTTGGGGTTTGGTTTTGTTGGTTTGTTGGGGTTTTTTTTAAACAGTGCACTGAAATCTCTGGAGCGTGAGAGGTGCTACATACATGTAACACCAAGTTCGGTTCTAGCTGAGCATTAGGATAAAGAACTGAAGGCAAATCAGAGATATTTCTATCCCCACGTTTCATTATCAAGATATGCTAAATAGTCCTCACACAGCCCCACCAACAAGTCTCTTGATAAAGCCAAACTGACTTCCTGAAAACTTTATCTTTTTCTTCCAGCCAAACAGCAGCACTGTCAGATGAACTTACTAATTTCAAGTATATTCATCTCTTTAAATACACACACACTTGGGGTGCTGCAAGTCAAGTTTGAAACAGGAGCACAAGAAAACCACGAACATAAAATCTATAACCACCTCTGAGGACTTCAGACTGATTTCAAGCATACAGGAAAACTACTTATGAAATTGTGCAGGCTAGATCAGAATACATTCTTTACTTTGCAAACATGCTTTTAAAAACATGAAAGATACCGCATATGAGAGTCAATATAGGTACTGGCACATAATACAGACAGGTAAAAAAAAAAAAAAAAGAACAAGAAAACTAAAACTTTTGGTCACCAAAAGTTTGTTTACCTGACAATCATGGCAGGAAGCAAGCAATATTCCAAAGTGAAGTGAATACCAAATGCTATGTATTTTGTTAATTATATGCTTTTAAAAACAGAGCCTTTAAATAACTAAAATTTGAAAAATATCAATCATATTATGCCTTCTAAAATGGCTGGGGTGGGAAGCACCAGTTAAAAAAAAAAAGTTTCCTTTGGATGCAGAGAAAGGAAAGCATCCTTATTTAAAAACAACTACACAGCAGTTCTATAAAGTGCCTGTTTGAGGAAACACATCAACAGATGTTTTCCTTGTGCAAAATAGACATTTTTCAGCTCAAATCTTTGGAACATATACACTACCCAGAGTTTATGTTCATGCATTACCTGCAATTTCAGTAATTCAATAAAACTTCTAATCTCCACTGCCAAAATTATTTTCCTTGATGCAAACTGTCCACTACCTCCAACTGAGCTAAAAATAAGTCATCAGAAAACTCTGGGTTTCATTTTCTCATTTCTTAATTTTTCTTTTAACTCATTTGCCCATTGTGCGTGTTTACTTTTGACTGTAAGAGTCCATTACTGAAGGCTATACGAAATACATTCTCTCCTAGGGAACAGCAAAACCACACTGCACACTACTGTAAGACACTGTTAAAACTTGAAAAAAGCAGCATTTAGGATCAATCTAAAGCCTGACAGAGATCTGTCTCCACTTTGAAATGCAAAATGCAAGACCTCTTGAAATGGCTTTATTATTAGAGAGCGGGTATTTAAAGTGTTTTGAAACTTAAACAGAAAGGTACCTACAAGTTAAGCAAAGGAAGCTCAAGCAGCCCAAGTTACTCTCACTTTCAGTTTCAGGCTCAGATCCACGTGCAGCCAAGCACAGAGGTTACAAGAACAGAAACTGCACAGCCAGAAGAAAAAGCCCATCAGCCTGAACACATCAGCGCCGCAATCGCTGCGGTGCGGCGGAGCCACACCAACGCTACAGCGGTTCGTTCCGTCACAGGTAAGGCTCTAGCTACGGCAGCGAGGAAAGCTAAAAGGCGCACACCATCCCTCTCGGTCTCACCGTAAACTGGCTGCTAACTGCGTATCACTGAGTTACTACTACTGGATTTAAGCTTCTCAGTGCCAAGATCCACTACAGGCTCCAGCTGGAGTGCTGAACAGGGCCAGAACAGAGAGTACCGGTGCTGCTTTGTAAACCACAAGGCTGCAGATCGAAATCTCCACTGAACAAACAAAACCAACCATTCCGGAACTCCACCAGTCCTTCCCCTCAAATGTGCCCTTCCTTCCAGTCCACGACTATTTTGGCAGTCCATCATCTCTTCTGTGTCCAAGAGGAGTTTTCACATCTCCACGCAAGAGAGGAGAAAACACACACAACGCTTATGAGAACAAGTACGAATTACATCTAAATCAAGATAACAGATTTAAGTGACTTAAATAAAATACATATATATTCAAAAAAGAAAAAAAAAATATATATATGCATTTGCCAACTTTAGAGAGAAGCTGCCAAGTGTTTATTTGATCTGAACTGTGTCTTGTAGTATAGGTATTCTGAATGTACCAGTGCACAGCTGGTCTGACCAGCCAGGAAGTTCATGCTGCAAAGGAGTCCTTCTTGGATAAAACGTGTAATCAGGCTCATAGTTCAAGAGACAACTCAATGACGCCATGTAGATATCCGCAAATCTAGAGAGACGTCTTAGGAAATAAGTTGGATTCTCATCAGTTCTGAACAAGCTTCCAAATTGTGCGTTGAAGAAATTCCTGTTCATCTCCCTGTCCCCCAAAAAAAAAGAAAAGAAAGAGAATGAAACCAACATACCTGCACACACCTCTCCACCAGCGAGCATCCAGAACCTGAAGCAAAGCGTTCCTATGACCTGTTCTATGTGTTATTCTCTTGCCATTGCGCTTCAAAACACTTATACGCATCCTATAAGAAATTTTTGCACCTCTTGCACATACGTAGCCCAGATCTACCAATCACAGTAGCGAACAGAAGAGCTTCACGCTTCTGCCACTAAAACCAGTGATAAGTTGCTTCTAACTCCAGAAACAAGACATCTCAAGCTTTCCTTTCTAGAGATTGTGAAAGAAGACTTTTGCCCTCATCTAAACGCTAACGACATCCACTTGTCCCAAAGATAAAAGACTCTTTACAAAACCGTGAAGAATTGGCTTAGTGTACACAAAAAGCTTAAACGC